GGACATGTGATAAGAGGGCAAAAATACGCATTATTACAACTTATTATGCAGGGCAAAATTCGAGGAAGCGAAATGTGGAAGACGAAGAATATCCTGGCTTAAGAACTTAAGGGAATGGTTTGAATGCAGTAGTGCAGAACTTTTTAGAGCGGCAGTCAACAGAGTCCGCATAGCCATGATGATTTCCAACCTTCGATAGAAGATGGAACTTGAAGAAGAAGAATTGAGCGGAAGTCATGTAGACCAGAAGGTTTAATACATGCCAGTACCCGGTGCGGTAGTAACCGCCTAAATAGGGTATATACAGCGGTGTAGAAAGCCACGGTGAGGGGAATAAAAACTCCAGTATTTTCCGAAGACTATTATTATGGCTATGGCCCCGAGTACAAACGCAGCTTAAAAGAGTCAATTGTGCGAAGAATCTTCCGCTTTGCCAAATTTGATATCAAAATGGGTTGTACAGTAGATGGTATTCACACCCTTATCCCGGAAAATACTTAATGCATTGGGATAAGATGACTGCATATATCAATTCTGGGTATATGCAATGCAATCTGGCCAATACAATGTGCAATTATTCAGGAGAACACATAATTCATAGACACATATCATCGTAACGGTGTAGGATTTATAGCCTCAAGGGAGTTTGGCAAATGTGTTAGAGCTGTATGCAAAAAGAAGCGAAAAGGAATGAAACAGAGGAGAAATGATAAAATACTTTCAAGAAAGGACTTACAAGCACAAAATTATACATACAAAGATACATTACTGAAGACAGATTTTTATTTATTAGAAACATTTTATACATTTTAACAAATACATACCTTCGATTTTTAGTTGTAACGCAAACAATACTCAATTCTTTTAGGCTACATTTGAATACAAGTATAAACGGAATGTGCGATCGGTATCAAGAAAGGAGCGGGCAAAAGGCCAGATTTCATGCCTCATTTTGTAGCAATGTGGCATACAGAAAGACGCATATAATTTCTGGATAAGACCCTGAGCATCTATAAATATTTTTTCCTTTAATGAACTGTAAATATCATTTAAATAAATTACAAATATATATCTGGGACAATTATTCAACTATCAATTATTGTCTTTTGAACTTTTTTATAAGCAAAAACAGTAGTATACAACAAATTGATAGGGTATTACTAAAATAGGAGTACTTTGACTAATACAACACTGAATATACAGCACTAACGAAATCAGGATTTTATTTCGGGGGTGTCCACTGTTTTAAGTTCACCCCACCCCTTTCTACAAAACATTTAGAAACTAGTCCACCAATGAATTGTTGAATTGTTTAATTTTTTTTAATTCATTAATATATATATATATATATAATTATAAAATATATAATCATTTTTTGATAATATATTTACTTTTATACTATACTGTATATTAAACTAATATATATATATATATATATATTATATATACTTTTTAATACACTTTTTGAGAAGGAGTAGTGTTCATTAACAAAGAAACTTGCACAGAAAAATGTTGACAATATAATTGTCCTGATAAATGTCAGTAATATTACTGAATATGTAGGTATATGAGGATACAAAAATTTATATAAAATATGTAAAATTATATGTATATAGAGAAAAACATTATCCTTTAAGATAAGGACGATACAGCCATTCTCCGCGGGTATCATACATATCTGGATAATATTAAAACATTTCCGCTTATACAAATAATTACAAACAAAATAAATTAGTTGCTAAAACACATTCTAAATATGTTTTACATGTATTTCCTATAAATAATTGTAATTAGAATACTAATAATTTAAAAAATCTAATTTTCTTCAAATTTGAATTTTTTTTAAACTGTTTGTCGTTTGTCTAGTGTTATGCAAATGTATTATTTAATGTTTGTGGCATTCATAAAAGCGTTATATAGCCTATAATTTTGGCCAAATACCCCTGAAGATGCTCTGAAAACGAAAGTACTTGGGCAAGATTAATAAAAATATGTGCTCGATATCTGCCTTTTATTTGAGTAAAGTTTATTTATTTAATCATGCAACCCTATATCACCTTGATTAGAAAAAGTTCACCAAAGAAGAAAGCAATTGTATATCTAACAAACATAACAAATGCAATACTAAGATACAGGCTCTTCCCAAACCGATGAAAGATCGCCCATGAGGTAGTCAGAGACATACATACTAGAGTTAATCCTAGAAGCATAATTTGGATGTAGAGCTCAACATTCCAGCGAACTACAAGTACTTAGACATATACAATACATAGCCACTGGATTCAATGACAAGCAATATATATGAGCAGCCTTCCTGGATGTAAGCAAAGCCTTCGGCAGAGTGTAACTTAAAGGACTGACATACTAAATGATAGATTATGAATACAGCCAAGCCATGACAAAACTCATCTTCTCAAACCTAAGTGACTAGAGATTCAGGGTCTAGATAGGACCAGTTCTATCTGAACATGGGATTTCAGAAGCTAGAGAACCACAGGGGGCAGTCTTATTACCTCTCCTGTATAGCATGTACACAGCAAACGTTCAAAGAACAGCCATAATACTAATCAGCCTTTATACGGACTGCAACCGCGACAAAACATAGGAACCTGGATATGGCTGTAAGAAATCTGTACAGACGGCACTGGCTGCAATTGAAGAATGGAGTATGAACAATAGAAATAAATTCAGAAAAGACCCAAGCGGTCATATTTAAAATAAAAAAGATAACGCAGAAGAACAGCTAACAGTGCAAAACAGATCCATTAAGTGGTAAAAGGAACCTAAATACCTTGGCACCACAATGGACCAAGGTCTAACATTTACATTACATGTTAACACATTACAAAATAAAAGTAATTTTTATTTGTCATTTTACATTAGAAATAATGTCACAATGAGAAAACTACGCTAGGATTATAACTACTCTGAATATAATAACTGGTAACATTAAAACACTCGTATAGAGAGAAATGATGGTAAAAAATCAAAATGTAAACTAAAGAACGAGAGAAATTACGACGAGAAGTATTTAAGAAAACCAAAATTTAAATTTGAATAAAGTACCTATATAAAATTCCAAAAATTATACTTGCGCCATATGAAAAAGGCATTTAGGCAGAGGGATGAAAAAGTCTTCAAGGAGAGACTAAAACAAGTAATGGTATTAGTAGTTGCAGCAGAACAAAATCAAAAAAGCATCACTTAAGTCATCATCACTCAGTTTTGTTATCTGGATGTGTCAGCTGATGTTTATTTATATTAAACAGTGTCTTATCCATTATTATAATTTAGATGTACAGTTATGTGGATGACGGTAATTACATTTAAATTTATAGACCATTAACATCATTATTAGATTTCTTTTGGCAGACAAAATTATACCTACAAATACATACTACACAAACCAAGCCGTTTTTGCTCTTAATATTACACGTACGCGGTGTAGCATTAAAAAAACCAATAAATTTTCGTCAGTTTATTGCTGTTTTGGCATGACAGTTTAAGTGTCAAGTCATATTTAACAAACTAGGGTTCAATTAACAGTTAGGTAAAAAACCTTAAAGGAATATTAATAATTGTCTAGAAATTACTAAAACTAACAAATCATAAATATGATAAGTGAAGTACCGAGTCGCTTTAAGGCAAGGAGATCAACCGTAGATTATTTGTTTTTTTTTAGAACAGCAATAGAGAGAAGGATATAAAAAATGGTTAAATACACATGTTTTTTATTTAGTTAGCAAAAGCGTATAATTCTGTAACTAAACAAAACTATGGAAAGTGCTACAAGATCTACAACTCTATCTATACCTTCTATAATAGTAGTCAAAAGACATTTTAGGCAGAATATCTCGCATATATTAAAAATGTGACAGCTTGTTGTCACAACTAATATAATAAATAGATGATCTGGGATTTCCTTTCTCCACAGTTGTCTTACATAAGAATTTTGGAAAAATAGATAAGAGTGTTAAGGTATAAGGAATTCCCTAATGGTATATATAATTTTTGATTTTCAGATTGGAGCAGAATTACCAATATATGGGTTTAAATGTAAATAGGTCGTAAATTCAAACACCAAGTTTACCATCTACATTTACGTTAATAATAAAAATACTATAAACAAGATAAAAAGTTCAAATACCTCTAAAAATAGATAAAATCTAACCTGTCTCTGAAAATAATTTGACATGTTGCTATGCTATGCTATGACTAAGATAACTAATGACAAACAATGCTGACTGATGCTACCACAGTTATCTGCTAGAGCATTAAGGAAAACCAACTGGCGAAGAGAATCCAAGACATCATAATTTGATCCAAATAAATAACCTTTCAAATATCAAATAGTTGACGTATCATTAAGTTCTGATGCAGCATCGTATTATTTCTTTTACTACACTCCACTAAATAAATCACCGTGCCAACAATTCTCGCTGTTTAAAGATCTCTTTGAGCTATGGAAACTGTTTTAATTTACTTCGTTAAAAGTTAAAATTGTCCGTGGAGAGTATTTTGAGAAACATCGAATTTACTTTTTTGTTACAAATATATCTTTGATTGATCGGTTATTCTATGAGCACGCTTTTTTTACCAAAGTAGGGAGCTAACGTAACGCTTAAAGACTTAAAACGTTAAAGAATACCACTAAAAATATCTAAGAGTTCTAGAGCAAAAATTTGTAATCACAATCAAAGAAGAAACATTGGTGTTGTGTGATCTTTCTATCAAATGTCTTTAGAATAAAGTCTTAATTTATATAAAAAATATTATACATTAAAAAATAAGTATTAAAATTATATTTAAATATAAAATGACTTAAGTACTGTTCCTATCTCTTCTATATATTTTAAGCGGCTTTTAATTATGTTAACAGGTGCATACAGGGGGATAATTCTCTGTTATGCTGAGTTTTGATATCCCATAGTGTAGACAATCCAAACATACAATACTAAAAACACATTTAACAATACATCAACGAAATACACACCTCAAGAAACTTCTTTCAACATTGCATGTTGACAACTATAAATAAAACCAAGTAAACTGGCAGCAAAACACTGGCGAATCGTTCGAGGCAAACTGAGCGGTTATTTTGTACGGCTCTTAATGTATTAGATGCTATTTTCATCACTAGAGAACCAGTCAAATTCATCGCCAATATCTGATCCATCCTGTTAGTGTAGGGAAATTGGATCGAAAATTATTATTATGCGGAAGAGACATAGACGTATTGTGGGCGTTTGAAAATATTTTCTGTTTAATGTTTGTTTATAAGTTAAAATGATTGAAGTATAAGCTTGAAGTCAGAAACAAATTAAATTTGAAGATAGGTCTATTAAAATTTAGCATTTTTGACGTGAACCTATAGTATCTACTATAAATACAACTTAAATATTACCAGAGAAATTAAATGAGGCAATAGCGGATATCACAGCAAGATCTAAACAACCGGCCAGTATAGAAGACAAATGGAATTGTATTAAAAAAGCTATCGTAACCCCACCAAGTCTATGACCGCTTCTCACAGGTACAAAAAGCAGAATTAAATGACTGACGAAATATTATCAATGACGGACGACCGCAAAGAGCAGATTAATCAACAAATACGAAAAGAGTGTCGCAAAGCTAAAGATCACTGGCTGCTAGACAGGTCTGCAGAAATGGAGGAATTGGAAGAAAAATATGACCATTTTAACATATATAAACTCGTTAAAGAAGTGACAAGTCATACAAAACCTTGCAGTTTTAAAAGTATTGTGAAGGACAATAAATTAATTACTGATCTCAAGGATCTACTTCAACATTGAAGAAACTACACACAGCAACTATACTCAGACAACACTAAAGAAAACTCTGAAAGTGAATATAAAAGTAAATCCTTTCCCACAATATTGAAGTCAGAAGTTGTAAGGGCAATTAAACAGAGCAAATGGGGAAAAGCACCAGGACCAGACGACATATACATAAAGGTTCTAACAATGTTGAGTGAAGACAATATAGACGCCTTGGTAAATCGTTTTAATGACATTTATAGGTCCGGTCAAATACCACAGGACTGGCTTCAATCAACCTTTATACCAATCTCAAAAAAGCCAAACCCTAATAGTTGCGACCAATTCCGAATGATCATTTTATTGAGCCAGGTCCTTAAACTCTTCTTAAAGATAATTCACACAAGAATATATAACAGATGTGAAAGAGACATTAGCCCCACACAGTTGGGTTTCAGACAAGGATTTGGCACAAAAGAAGCACATTATAGCTTTGTTCTGTCACTCCTCCTTTTTAATCTTTACTCTGAAACGATTTTTGATATAGCCTTAAGTGACACTGAAGATGGAATCAAAATCAACGGACAGACTATTAGTAATCTTCGCTATGCTGATGATACAGTCATTATAGCTGATAGCCAAGAAGCGCTACAACGAATAATAGATAGAATAAACACTGAAGAAGAAGAACTGGGCTTAAAGATTAATATAGACAAGACGAAGGTAATGGTGGTTAGTAGAACACAAAATATGCAATTAAATATAAGAGTAAACAATAACAATATCCAAAAGGTCCCCACGTTCAAATATCTCGGTAGTTGGATAACTGAAGATCTATATCCAGACATAGAGACACGTAGCAGAATTGAGCAAGCCAGAATAGCATTTACTAATATGAGAACCTTGCTATGCAACAGCAACCTTAACTTAGCGCTTCGATATCGCTTTGTAAAATGTTACATTTACTCCATACTGCTATGTGGTGTAGAAACCTGGACCATAAAGGCCAATGCGATGAACCGATTGGAGGCTTTTGAAATGTAGGTATTTAGAAGATTATTTAAAATTCCCTGGACAGATCACATCACAAATGTCGAAGTATTAAATTGAATGGGAAGAGAACGAAAATTGCCGCCAATAATAAAAAGAAGAAAAACTGCTTATCTGGGTCATATATCTGTCCAAGTGGATTTTGTAATTTGAAATTCCAAGTATCAGTTCTTAAAGCTTATTATGAAAGAGAAGATAGAAGGAAAACATATCATCGGAAGATAGAAAGCACTCGAAGCACCTCGATGCACATGTACTCTTTAGAGCTACACAATGTACACAAGATCAAGAGGAGTATGCCAGAATTGTCGTTAATATTAACTGGATAGCGCCCCATAAAAAGAATATTACCTGGTGATATGACGCGAATATTCAACTATCAGACCTGCTTAATTAGGTTCTTTCTCGCTCGTTATGACGATATCTCGTAACGTTTATGATTTTTTTATGTCGCTATTTAATTTGTGCTTCAAAAGTTACATCATAGCGTACAAACACAATGGAAGTAGATTAAAAGGTCTGCGCCGGTAACCAGATTTAACCAACGTTCTGGCTTTTACCGGAATGATAATATAGTTTATTTCGGAATTTAGTACTCACTGGTTTGGTGGTTGTAGCATGGATAAGAAGACACTTATTGTTTATATTTTTGAAAGATCTATTTGAAACAAGAGAGAGAAATTACATTACAGCAATTGCTAAATTATAATCAAAGTGTTTAAATAATTCGCATATATTGGAAGACTCATTCATCATTATATTTTTTTTTAAATAGATGATGATATTCATCCATTAATTATTCTTTCGCGATTACAAGAATATATACCAATTATCTTTCTTCTTAGTTTAGTTTAAAAGAATCCAAAACAATCATATTGTGATCTGAAGACCTTTTACTAGAAGTTATTAACGCAACTAATAAATTTTGAAGGATTTTCTCACATTTACAGTTATTCTCTCTGTTGGTATATAGGCGCGACGCTGATTGCGTTAAGCGGACATTTGCTTTCACTGTGGTTGTACCCAAAGGGTTTTAGGTTGCAGACTTGTAGTACCAGATGCTAATACAAAATCACTACTTTCATAACGTAGTTAATAAAACTCACATTTTTAACATTCATTTAAGAACAAAAGAATACATTTATAACAAGTCGCCAGTCAAAAAGTGGCCACAAATGTTTTGAGTTTAATTAATGTTAATTTTTTGAACAAAAATTTCGTTTATTTATTTTTTAAATAAAATATATTGCTCATGACGTATATGCATGTTTTCTATATTAAATTAAACAATTTTTTTTAACATGATATATAAGGTACCTGAGAAAAAATGGTCGCAAATTAGGGTTGCGCACTGTTAAAAACGAGGTATCAAAGATAAAGTGAAAGGAAGTTATCGCACAATATCACTGATTTGACAAGGATGGCAAGTGTCAGATTATTCTGACTAAGTTCGGTATTAGGTTAAATAATGTAAAGTTTGCATTTTAGAAAAATGAAAAAGTGTATTTTTAATTATACGTATATAACATGTATAATATTATTACTATCTACTGACGCATGCGCAATGGCTTTAAAATCGACAATAATCATGTTAAACCAAAGACATTTTGCGCTAGCTTTCTTTTTCCTAATCTTTGATATCTCTCGTTTTTAACAGCTGGCAACCCTAGTTTGCAATAAATATTTCCCAGGCAACCTTATATCATCATATAAAAAAATAACTTTAAGTTGATAATAAGAATCATGTATGTACGCTATTTTTGTTTAACAATTAATTACCATTATTTTAATTAAAATTACTTGTAGCCACTTTTTGAATGTCAACCTGTTTTTAATGTATTCTCCTATTTTTAAATATATTTAAAATTTTAGTTCGATTAGCTACGTTATCAACGTAATGATTTTGCACAGGAATCTCAGACTAAAAGGTCAGTTTAAATTACATTGGGTGGGTGTTTTACAAGTGGTGGATTCGGCTAGTGATGGGCAAAAGTGCTACTTTTAAATTACAGTTATAACTGCTACTGTTTTATGAAAATAACAGCGACGAAAAAGCTGCTTAAAAATAGCAGTTTAAAAATAAAGGGAAGGGATGGAAGCGATGCTTAAATTGTTGCTTGAACGGAAGATATAAATACTAGATATCAGATCCGAAGAGAGTAAGAGAGTGTGCGACGGCGCAGATTTGTTAGTTGTTGTTAGCTTGTGCTGTGGGAATCCCAGTTGTGTTTTAATACTATTAATTCATATAAGTAAGTTATTAAATTAGTCTGAAATATTTAAATATAATTTCAATTAGGTAAATAGCAGCTTTTAGTGATGTTACATTGAGAAATACTAAAAAAATATTTTGTATTCAAAAGCATAGGCTTGATATTAAAATATTATTGACACACATATTGACTGGTGAGCTACCAGTGCAGACTGGGACAATTTATTTTGTGTATTATAAAAATCGGAATTGAAGTATTTTGCTGTGTACCTTTACATGCATTTTGTTTTTTTTTAAGTATTGTTCCATTATTCTTTATCATTGCTTTTTAGATTTTAACTTTACAACAAAATTTTGAGTTCTAGAAAGTAATAGTTTGGAACTTTTTTACTGTTAAAGATAATGGTCGAGCGAAGTGTAATATTATACAACAGTTACAATACAATAGCTTAATGTAAACTGGTGATGTTAAAGATATCCGATACTCAAATTCCAAGTAGGTACCGGTGGTGCTTGTTTTGTAATACAAAAGAAAAGTGACAAGTGTGTAAAAAGTTAAACTAAGCACAAGAAAAATTTACTGACGTCAAACTTTTAAACATAATTGTTGAAGACATTCAACCTTTCTCCCTACGGGAAGATGAGAGTTGTCGAGAATTTTGTGATGCTGTCGGTTATACTTTGCTCAGCAGGAAAACAATAACTAAGACTTTATTTCCCGCCAAATATTTAGAGACTCTAAATAAAAATAAAGAAATTATGGCAACCGCCGAATCGGTAACAATTACTGCTGATATGTGGTCATCACGGAATAGTGATAGTTTTTGGGAGTTACAGCTCATTTTATAAATGATAAATTCGAAATAAAGTCAATCCTTTTAGAAGTTTGAAAGTTCGAGGGATCTCAGACAAATATTACCTTAGCAAATGAACTACGACGAGTTATAACTGAATGGGATTTGCATAACAAAATTTTTATAGTTATTACAGACAATGCTGCAAATGTAAAAAAAGCGATTTTAGAAGAGTTAACATTGAAACATTTGGCTTTTTTAGCACA